ATTCCGGTTATATTCATGTCGCGAAACTTCGACCAGCGTTCCTGCAGCTTTGGAGAGAACCCTGCTGGAAATGGCAGGCCTGTTCCAATTGAAATGCATAGCCAAAGCCTATGAGCATGAATGTGCAATTGGCGCCGATGAGAAAATCCGATGTTTTGCACATTGGTGCAACTGGAAATGCTGCAGAGAAGCCGCAGCACGGGGGAAGGCCAAAGAATCGGTTGAGGGAAAGTCAACTTTAGGGGGCAAGCGCCATGATGCCAATTGTGTCAATGTGCACGACACTCAGTTTGCTCATTACCGCTCATTGCAGCCAGTAGCGCTATGTGGCAGAGCCATTGTACGGGAGATAGCCAAGAGCCATGCACTGCAGAGAAGTGAACTCGGTGCAGTATGGCAGTGAAAATGCTCAATCGCCAAATTAGCACACCCTTGCAAAAATTTTCTATGGGACCGATAGAGATTTTTATGCGATCAATAGGATTTCATCGTACCGATGGGCATTTCTACTGGGCCGATAACAAGTTATATCGTACCAATACAGACTTCTCTTGTACCATTAGGAACTTCTGTGGGACAAGCAGGAACTTCTATGGGACAAGTAGAAACTTCTATGGGAACAACACGAATGTTTTCTGGTCCGGAATACAAGTGCCTATTGGTCCTTCAATAGGATCAATAACAAGTTGTACTGGTTAAACTGAAAGCTTCATTGGTGAAATGGAATGCATTTCGGATCGAGAACTTTTAATGGTCGACTGGGAATACAGAACATAAAATCTATTAAGTGGGCATCTATCAGGTTAAACAGTATGCTTAGCGGAGAAATTAGAGTTGTTATATACTAAAGTTTTATGTTTTGAGCACAGGAAAATAATTTTTGCCGCAAATATACCCGATGGCAGGCACGCAGCCAGGATTTTGATTCGCCCATGACAAAATACTGTATGAAAGGGAGGGGGGAAAGGAGGCCCCACCAAATGAAATGTTTGGGAGGAGGGGGGGGGGGGGCCATGGTCCCCCCCCCCCCCCCCCCCCCGTGCAGATACGTGCGTGCCCGATGGGTTCCTCTCTGTCAAATAAACATTTTTTTAGCTATATAACTTGGGTTGGGCCATGTAGACACTATATAAATAAAACATTCAGTTAATAAAGTGAATATAAACTCTTTTTTTTCACGTGTTTTAGAATTTCCTGATTACGTGCTGTCCTCCTTCGTATTTTAAAACATGCGGCTGCCAGTAAAACATAAAGAAAAGACTATGGGGAACGGGAACATTGTGTGTGCACATAGTATGCACAAGATTCATGAATAATTATATATAGGCAAGCCACGAAATTCAGGTATCATCGGAACTCTGCAGTTTTAGCGGTGTATTCTGTCCTTTTGTTTTCCAGGATGTTTCAGTAACAGTAATAGCGTAAACGATTGCACCAACTGGATTATGTATTCACATTAGACTTTGCTCCGTTTTATTCAGTTTTACCTGGTTTCGGAGTGGAACATTCTCGTTTTTGTATAAATTTCGCTCCAGAACCGAGCAAATCAGAGTAAAACCGGGTCAAAAACAGAATAACACTGACTCAAAAATCCTATTATCATCTTTCACGATTGGTCCAAAGCTCTCAGACTTCCGACGTCGGGACTTTAAAACTTTGGCGGAGTTGGTGAAAAAGTGCGATACTTCAGGCTTCCATTTTGCCATGTGAACGTATCCTGTTTGAGCCCTAGCAGAGGCTACGCGCTCGTTCTGGGGCGGCAGATCACGTGCACATTCTATCGTGGGCATGCTTTTTATTAACAGAAAAGAAAAGCCGGTAGTGCCAAATAACATCCAATAATTATTAACACCATAGAAGTCATTAAAAAAAAAAGCACATAAAATGCGCGCGCGCACACACACACACGAAATAAGGATGACCTTCCCGAAATGATGATTGCACCTTGTTTCACGCACAGTAAGTGTCAGGCAGCGCTTTCCACTTTGTAGTTGAGCAAGGAAGTTCCTTTTTGAAAGGCATTTTACGCGCTTGTTGGCAGTTTGGGCCTTTAGTTTGGCTTCTGGCTTCCCAATGTTGTAGTCTTCCTTGATGCCGGGAAGAGTGTACACTCCAGCAATGAAGTTTTCGAGATTCAAAAGCCCTTCATTTTGCGTCCAATTAAAATGAAGGCCAGCCGAAACAGGGTACGTCAGACTCGTTACATTCGTCTTTGGCAGTAGCCTTTTCGGAAACTTGGACAGGAAATTGGTCTTAAAATCTCCCGTCACTTTCACAATTTTATCACTTGTGTCTTCACTAACTGGCCCAGTACTGTGACCGCTTCTTGTTTCATTGGTACTACTTAGTTCACGGGGAGTTTTTGTCTCACCGTGTTCCGAGACAACCGAGCTTACAGAAACTGCTGTCGGCGACGTCGGTTCTGGTCCCTGGCCTGTTGTAGCATTTTTCAGGACACAACTTCGTCTCAGGACTGTTGTCCTTGGCAAGCTGGGTATACTTAGTGGCTCCAAGTATATTTTTTTGTTTGGGTTCATGGTCGCACAGCGCGACACCCTACGTGTCTCAATTCCAAATTTTAAAATTCGCACCGACGTCGTCCCGCAGCAAATGCAATTTTCTAATTAAAATGACAAATAAAAATTACTCCGTTATAAGTTTAATATATATTCAGTATTTACATTTGACAATTAAGTAATACCATAATTTTTATAAACGTTTATTATTTTCTTAAGTGCATCAGTCACACTTGCGGGCTACACCACGTGACAATATAAAGTGAGCTGGAGTCAATAGAGTGAACAGTGGGGTCACCCGCATGCATAGCCCGCATGGCATATAAAACCAAAATAAGTTTTCAAAGTGCAATTTATGCAAATTTTTTGCTAAATTAAGGTCAATAAGTAAATTTTATAAGTATTTGTTTACTTCAGCAAACAAAAACAAGAGTTAAAATACGAAGTATTATAGTCACGTGATACATCCCCTGCGTCAGGAAGTGGCCCGACGTGATAAACCGAACGGTCCGGCCGGAGGACAAGGAAGCGTGGAAGAAGAACCGAAGCTGTCGAAGCAACGTTCGCGGGAAGTCTAACCGCTTGAAGCACGTTGCAGAGTCGAGACCAGTTGAGCGGCCGGAATTTTACGAACGATTATGCAAGCGTACGTCTTGAGGACGACCGTGAGCCACATATCATCTCAAATTTCTGCCCGTCAAGCCTTGCGACGAAACGGAATCGGACTTCTTCAAGGCGCTTATCCTAAAGTTGTTTGGTAAGTTCTAGTCTCCACACGCGTTGTGCCCAGTCTAGTGACCATCTCCTTTAAGTTAAAAATTGCAGCTTTAAGCACAATATGTGGGAGTAACTCTCGGCGCCGGTTGTTTCAGGATCGCAGAGGGACGCGGAAACCCAGCGACAGTAAGCGGGTGCTAGTACCTCCGACGAGATGAGTGACTGCCCGGGAGGGCTGGAGGAAGCTTGTGTGAGACAGGTAATTGTAATTTCATTTTCGCGCTTGCGAAGCAATTCATAAGACGTATTTTAAATTTGAGATTTTCTTTAGTTATGCCGTCACAAGTACAAGGAATTTCATTGATAGGGGTGCCGTGTGTTTGTTTTTATATGCCCAGAAACTAGGTAAAGGTTATGTGTTTAAACCATTTCGTCGTTTACTCTGAGACTGGGGGGTTTTTGAAGAGCAGAAGTAACAGAAAAAACATACAGGTCTCAAGACCTGTCTGTTTTTTCTGTTACTTCTGCTCTTCAAAAAAAAACCCAGTCTCAGGGTAAACGAGGAAATGGTTGACTTCCACCAGCTAGCCTGTACTTTGACTCTTTTCTCGTTAATGTGTTTTAACATTTTTTCTGTGCTGATAGGCTTAAGGTTAGAACGAATTATATCTGTCAAGGCGAGGCGCAGTCTGTGTCTATTTGGAGAAGAGGTATCTGTGTGCGTGCGTGCGTGCATGTTTGTTTGTTAGTTCATTGGGGAGAGAGAGGAGATGAAGAAGAGGAGGAGGGTGAGGGATCACGTCGAATCATTCAAATCGTTAACTCTGACAGTAATGAGGTAAGAAGGATACCTGCTAGTTACACCGGTTCGGTTTTGTGCCAAACTCAAATTGCGTTTTGCCGCGTAAATATTGCTACAATTTTTTTTTCATCAACAAAATTAATTTTGAGGCATGCCGTTGACAAATAGGACCCCTGTTTTCAATCCCAGTCCAGGCTATTCGCGACTCCAGCGATTTATAGATGGCGCGCTGCTCAGGCAAAATTGGAACGAAAGAAGGTCGTTTTCGTTGTTCAGCATGCGGACCATCACAAGTTCCTGCACTGCAGCATAAAATCGGTGTTACATTTGAATGCAAAGCGATTTTTCGACCCTAGAAACGTTCGTCTACTCAATGCGTAGGAAGGACCCGGTGGAATCATTAAAATAATTACTGGAAACAATGTTTGTTTCTATGCTGCCTACGAGAACCAAGCAGCGATAGCAGACGACAGAGTCGGGGCAACCTCCTCTCCTGAGCTTCTCGGCGCTGCCGCTACGCGGCGTCGATTTCGCTGGAGTCACGAATATTGCGCTTTTAAATTTCCTGTACATAGTGCTGCTTCAAAGATGAACTGAAGTTTATGTCTTCTATGTGTGCATTGGCAATGGCATGTGGCTCAACAAGACTTCACACACGAAAGTTCTCAAATAGAAGAGGGAATCAATGTTCATCCGGTAAGGTTTGGTAATTATCTCTGCCACAGATGGCCTCCTTGGCGAATTGTAACCGGCAGACCTTCAAACCGCACAAAGGCTAAGCAAAGCCACAACTGGATGCAGCAAGACTAAAAGCTTTATAATATACTGTAAGGACTATGGCTTTATAATAAGCCTTTTATAGCAAAACATACTGATCTGAAAAGCGTTGTTTGTGGTTATTTTAAAGTGGTATACGGAAACTTCGTCGTATTGTATTAATTCTGGTTCACTGCACAGTTGAAAGAATTGTCTTCGTTTGCTGCCAAAGAAATATAGCTTGCGATGAACTAAATCAAAGTTATGACTGCTGGTGTCCTGTACATATTCAGAACTTTTTTTTATTAAAATAATTGTAATCAAGTGTTTTTATGGGTTTTAGCACTGTGATTAAGATACGTCAATGTGTTTTCTAAGAAAGACTACTAATTTGCAGTTTGTATCTTCTCCTAAAATATTTTGTAGATCTGAGCATGTATTCATACCTGAATATGTGCCAGGCATTCCCCAGTATGTGTATAATTGTTTACTAGGCCTGTAAGCTTCCCCACTACATCATTGCCGCTATGTTAACGCTTCCCAGCTATTATTCGAGAGAGATAAGTGTTTCTCATGATCAATTAGGTTGAGATTGTTTAGCGTTAATGTTTTTGAGTCCCCCATTTTTAATTCCTGACAGAGCGCTTCAATGTCCGTTTATTTTTGGTTTGCCGCTATTTATCACCACAAGCAAAAACATCACGCCACTGGGATTAACCCGAAGCTCACCTCATGATTAACGACGCTGCCGTCCACTGTCTTAAGGTGGGCCTACGTTCATGGGTATTGTCTAGTGGTTCTGGAGTTGATGTTGCTGAGATAACCGAGACGCCGATTTCTACGATGGCCTCTGTCAGCATCATGGTCAATTACAGCTGGCCCGAACCAGGCCAATCAACGTGCTGGCCCGAACCAGGCCAATCAACGTGCTGGCCCGAGCCCGGCCCGGGCCCACAGTCAAAAGTCCGAGCCCATCCCAGGCCTGGGCTTTCGGGTAAGCCCAAGCCCGTGCCCAGTGGTATAATCTTTAATCCAATCGCCATATTGAGATAAAGACGTCAAAATTCCTCAGTTTAAATGTCGGAAGTGCCTCAATAAGAGCAGGTATAAATATTAGTAGCAAATTTAATGATAAAAAAACTGCGCCGACTTTACTCAACAAGATTAACAGTTTAATCAAGCGTTTCATCTCCCATGCGGGGAACATCATCAGTGAAACCTTCAAGCAGGAATGAGCGAAAAAACTTCAACAATCTTATTTAAGCAAGTCCGCGTAAACATCGGGGGAGGGGGCCGCGGTTGGAGTTGCAAGCTGATGAGTCACTTCAGATGAACCATGATTCCACCAACCTTCGTGGACCCCACCTTTGTTCACACGCCAGAGTGGACGCATTCTCAAAGTCGAAACTGTGACCCGTATTCCAACAATGGTCTACGAGTTCCGTCTTCGCTGTGTTTGTTTAGGCGAGTGCAGCGCTTCCAGCCTGTCTCCCCAATGTAGGATGTGTCACAGTCTAGACAGTTCACTTTATACACAACACCGCACTGGGACTCTGGGGGGGTGTAATATTTAGGTTTAGAAATGAAGTCACATAGTTTATGGTGGGGTTTGAAAGCTGTGCGGATATTCAAAGGGGCGAGGGCCCTGCAAATGGACTCAAAAGCACCTCTCAAATAGGGTATTGTTGCCTGCCCTGTCCTAAGTTGTCCATTATCCTGACTTCTTTGTCCCATCTGTTTGTGCGTGTTATCAATAAAACGTTTCGGATAATTCCGCTTCATCAGCAGGTCAACAATAACAGCATCCTCAGAAGCGCGCAAGCCGCCTCGGTGGCTCCGAGGCGAGAGCGCTGGCCTACGGATCCCCATGTGGCAGAGGCTTATTGCGGAGCAGGCGCCGTGTAACCGAGCTTTCGGTTGCACGTCAAAAGATCCCCAGGTAGTCCAAATTAATCCTCAGTCCTCCGCTGAGGCATGCCAGATGCCCGTCGTTGGTTTAGCACGTAAATCCCCCAAATTTGACTTTTTTCTCAGAAGCGCGCAATTGAGGATTAGAAGAAATGCGTTCGGACCGGTGTAGTAGGTTTTTTACGACAGCCCTTTTATGTTAGACAGAATGATGCGAGTTAAAGCTTAAGAGGTTGCCTGTATCACAGCTTTGCGGTACACTGTTGTATATAAGCGACCGGTACTATTTCGGAACACATTAACATACAGAAAAGGCTTTGCACCGTTCTGTTCAACTTCATGTGTGAATTGGATTGATGATTCAATGCTGTTTAAAGCTAAATGAAAGTCACAAAAGGGACATGGCAAAGGCCACGCATGCGACAAGAGCGAAGACGGAACTCGTAGACCATTGTTGGAATACGGGACACAGTTTCGACTTTGAGAATGCGTCCACTCTGGCGCGTGAACAAAGGTGGGGTCCAAGCAGGTTCGTAGAATCATGGTTCATCCGAAATGACTCATCAGCTTGTAACTCCAGCTGCGGCCCCCTCCTCAATGTGTATGCGTACTTGCTTAAATAGGACTGTTGAAGTTTCTTTCGCTCATTCCTGCTTCAAGGTTTCACCGACGATGTTTCCCACATGGGAGACGAAACATTTGATTAAATTGTTAATCTTCTTGAGTAAGTCGGTGCAGTTTTTTTTATCATTATGATTCCCGGCTTTTGGAATATTTTTGCAGCACATTTAATGAAGAAATTGATGCCGATAAACACCTGCCAAGGTTGACTAAAAATAAACAGAAACATACAATCAATAGTTATGATTGCACTAAGCGGTTGCTATGTGGATGTTTTTTTATGTTCGACAGCTCAGCAAAGTCTGTGGATCTGGTTATGCTTCCTGTACGAGACAGATCACGAAGCGGTTGCTGACTGACCAGTTGGGGCGAAAATTTTTGTGGGAAGGACGCAAGAGAAAGTTGACATTCAGGAACCTTCACCTTGCTGAGTGCATCATAAGTAAGTAATCTCTGGAACAGTAGTGCAGATCGCTTCACATGGAACCAGATTTATGGAATTGTTGGTGTCATACTTCTGTTGCTTTCTTTTATCAGATGCAGTGCAGAGCTGCAATAAATGTGAAGACTTCAAGGTAGAAACCATGGTCACGGATTAACTTCGCCACGCACCTGCCTGACATCAGTCATCTCAAATGGTAAGCTGGTCTTATTAAGCTGATGTTAGCACAAAAATCAAACTCTTCTAGAACAGTAAGTATGGTGTGCAATTTCTTCAAAGCATAATTTCTATATGAGAGTATTTGAATGCTTTAAATATTAAAGCCAGTGACACCTCTTTTGGTTTAATTTGAGAGCAAATACTACAGGTGTGAACAGTATTGAATAATTTTAAATAAAAAAAATTTTGTTTGGAGTGTTTCTCTAAGAGGAAAAATTTCATTATGTAATAGTACCTTATTATGGATTAAAGAGAATGCATAGACAACGAATGTAAAGAACACTGATATTTCATGTAAATCTAACAAACAAAAGTTGGCAATACAGTACACACATCCAGCATGAATGTGCTTTAAAAACAAGGCATAAAATACTTGTGATTTATTTACATCAGTTCCAATTCTTGCATATTTGAGTCACTTCACTTTGAACTTCACTGTTTTATTAGTTTTGTTTCAAAGAATGGTAAACCACTGCTCACATATCTTTAACGTAACATTTTTTCGTTGCTTTTCAGGAACATTCTGCACCACAGGAGATAGAGATGTGAACTGCCTTAAGTGGGCCTTGAATGTGCTGAGCTTTTTATTATGTTTATCAGACATTTTTTTTAAGCAAAGTATCCTGCATTGTTCAGTAAGTATACTTTATTTTGAAAACATCATGCTGTCTATGCAGCATTGTTCAATAATTATACTTTATTTTAAAAGCATCAAGCACAGCTCGTCTGTCTAACAGTAACAATAAAGAGTTAATGGTGATTTGTTTGGCACTGCAAATTTTTTTACAGAACGGATGTGCATGCCTGACAGGCTGGGCAGGAATTTAGTGCGCTACTCACGTTCAGAGTTACGCTGCAAGACTGCAGCGGCATCTTTTGCCATGCAGTCGGTGCTACAGCTCTCATAAAATTCTGGTGTCCTCGTCACTAGAGCATATGACTACTGAAGCCTTAGACTTCAGTAGTCAATTCCTCAGGGCCGTTCGTCATAGCTTATGACAATGTTTGTGTCCAGTATTTCAGTTCTCTCGCATGTGGCAAGGTCCACCTCACTAAAACGAGTCAGCATCAGTAGTATCGCCTTCCTTGTCAGTGTCGTCTGTACTGATCCTGTGGTAAAGCTTCTGAGCTTGATGGTGAAAAAAAAACTTCAATATAAAGAATGTCTGCTGCGGGCCTGATTGCTACATTATACATCTGTAATGCGCCATTTGGGTATACATTGAGAGCATGCACGGGCCATACAGCAAATCTGCCCTCTGAGCTCTTGTTTTGTAAAGAATTCGACTCTTATCCATTTAAATTTTTCTGTAGGACAGTTTACACGCTATATGCTAGCATAAAATGAAGGCTGCTTAGGCACTTCCTTGCCCTCCTGGCATAGGGCTGGTCCCTATACCAGGAAAGGTAATATTTCTGAGGTATGTACATGGTACATCCACAGGATCAGGCTGAACATCCTACAATGGTCCTGAATGTCCAGCTGCATCAACCAGATTGTGTTAGTGGTACGTTTTCTGGGAAACCATTTTGCACTGCACAGTAGATACTTTCAATGTTGGATGAATCGTAGCAGATATCCACTGGATATGTTAAATGTCCGAACAACACATCTTTCGGATGTTTAATAGACGGTTGCTGGTTGACTGGGTACCATCAAACCAATGTGCACCGGGGCACCTGTTGTCAATTACCGCTCATTGGTTTTCGCCCCCTAAACGCCAACAACCCAATGTGCACAGGGGTGCCTGTCGTCAATTGCCGCTTTTTGGTTTTCGCCCCATAAATACCATCAATCCAATGTGCACAGGGGCGCCTGTTGCCAATAGCCGCTCATTAGTTTTTGCCCCATAAATACCATCAACCCAATGTGCACAGGAGCACCTGTTGCCAATTGCTGCTCATTGGTTTTTGCCCCATAAATACCCTTAATGCAATGTGCACTGGGGTACCTGTTGCCAATTGCTGCTCATTGGTTTTTGTTTCATAAATGCAATCAGCCCAATGTGAATTCCCTAAAGGATTACCAATTCAGCCCAATGTGAATTCCCTAAAGGATTACCAATTGGTGCACATAGGTTTTTGTTTCATAAATGCATATTGCTCAATGTGTCTGGACCTACAGTTGCACATTGGTTCAATGTGAATTTTGGCCTCATTTCACATCGCCCATTTCCAGCAGGGTACACCGTCCCCGTACACGGCAAAGACGTCGACATGGTACTCATCGGGCTTCACCTAACCGAGGAGCGACGAAGGGTCATGAACGTCGGCGCCCAAGCGATCGGCATGTACGTGGGCTTCTACAGTGCCCGAGGGACCTTCGGCCAGAGGCTCATGCTGTGCTTTGACCTGCAGTTCGGTTGCGTTGCCTTTGCCACTTTCGTGTGCGCTTTCGCATTCGTCATTGTGAACATCCTCCGGGGAAAGCTATCGGGGCGTTCCACGGACGTTTCCAACACGGCCTTCTTCCTTTACGGCTCTTTTTTTGGAAGATGCACGGGCTATTCATTCTTCGCGGAAAGCTCAGTCATTAGATTTCTTTCCGTACTTTGGCTTGCTGGCATGTTCTTTCTGGGCAATTACTTCCTGTCGGCGATAACTTCCGAAAGCAGCGTGCCGATCCTCAAGAGAGCCTTCGAAACGACGGAAGACGTCGCAAAGTTTGTCAGTTCTGGTAGGGTGATGCCTTGTCTAAGGAAAAATTATTACCCGCAGAGATTTGTGGCGTCGTCGAAGGACGGCGTACTTCGCACGATACACGAGCTTCTGCAAGGTTGCGGCGATTCCTGCTTGGCTGTCGACGGGTGGAAGTTCTGCATGGACAAGGCGCGACGAGGCACGCACTTTTTCCTGGACGCCTACTCCGAGTCCGAGCGGATTCATGAGCCCGGAGTGTCCCTCGGAAAAGATTTCTTTTTTCACGTCACCGGATGTTTTCCAGTCGCAAAATCAGTTCCCTTTGCTCGGGAATATCGTCAGCTTACCACGGCAATTCTAGAGGGTGGACTCTACGAACGACCGTTGAGGTCGAAACTCGTGCACGTAAATGAGACAGAGGCCTTCGATCACGACCCGTTCCAGTATTACATGCTCCTTTATTTGGGCGGTTGCTCAATCAGCGCCTTTTCGCTGGTAATTGAGTGCATTGTCAGAGCACGCTCACGAGCCAGGAGGGTAAGCGTCAAGCAGAACCGCAAAGTTTCCGTTCGTATACGCTGAGGGCCTTCGATCCGAGGTTTGAGCACATTTGGTAAGAGGGATGTCCACAGAAATCGGCGACAAAAATAATAAGGTTCGCAGCGGGGTGACTTGAAATCATTGTGTAGCGTTAGATCTATGTTCTTAGTTATCATTAAGTTTCGTCAACAAGCCTAACAAAAAAAAAAAAAAAAGAAGTTTGGTGTGCGTTTTGCTTCGGCCTGCTTTCGTAACGGTGTGTGACAAAAGCGAAGGTATACCACAAGAGGCCCGTAACATCGCATCTGAAGCTCAGGAAGGTGAATTTCAGAACCATAAATCTGCTGTCACACTCGTAATACGTCATACAAAAGACAGGCTGCGGCCACTGTCTGAGTGATTTTTTTTTCTGCGTGTCGGTCATGCCACACTCTCTAAAAAAATCAGTTCGAAAAAGAGCTTTTTGGAGTCCTTCGGTTTGTCCATATTTTGCACCCTAAAAGGTTCTTTTAAGCACCCTATAAAAAAGTTCTCCATGAAGAACCTTTAGGGAGTTCTTTTAAGTTCTCTTTTCAATGAAACAGGTCTTCGTGAGGAACTTTTAAAAAGTTCTTTTCAGCCCTTCTCTCGCTAAGACAGTTCTTGGTGAAGAACCGTTTAACAGTTCTTTTAAGTTCTCTTTTCAATGGAACAGTTTTTCGTGCGGAACGTTTATAAGGTTTTTCCAGCCCTTTTGTCGCTGAAACAGTTCTTTTTAGTTCTCTCTCGGATGAAATGATTTTTCATCAAGTACCTCTAGAAGGTTCTTATAAGCTATTTTTTAAATAACCAGTCAATAATATGAACAACCTTTATTGAGTTATTTTAGGGTCTAAGGAAATAAGTTCTAAATAACCTTTCAAGGGAACTTTTATGTTGGGTGTGCGAATACCCCCTCGGTTCAAAAAGAGCAGCGATATTTCTAGGTTCAACACTGCAATGAAAGTCATTGTGTATAGTGGACTTGTTGAATCTAGAAATATCGCTGCGCTATTTGAACCGAGGGGTATTCGCACATCCCCACAGTAAAGTTCCCTTGAAAGGTTATTTAGAACTGTTATTTCCTTAGACCCTAAAAGAACTCAATAAAGGTTTTTCATGATTAACTGGTCAATTGAAAGAGCTTATAAGAAGCTTCCAAAGGTAGATGATAAAAAACCGTTCCATCCGAGAGAGAACTAAAAAAAACTACAAATGATTCCATTTCAACCACTAGTCGCTCACCCCTAACTTTTAAGTTACTTTTTACCGAGAGAGCTTTCTATTATGAACCTTTTCAGTGAAAGATTTTTTGCAAAGACCACTTTGGAGTTAACTTGAATAACTTAATCGCAAAAAGCGACTTGGGCAGCAATTTTAGGTGTACAGATAGCTCTTTTGTAAACCGCTCTTTATCGACTGTCTCGAACTGTTTAACGGGGCAATATACATCACCTAGACGTTTTGTAAACGTCAGACGTGCAAAACAGGCTTTGAACGACAAGGCTCCTTTTCTGGGGCACTACATCTACTGCAGAACCATGGCTTAGATGGGTATTCAAGTATAAGTTCATCGTTGATACTTTTGTCAAGACCAAGTATGAGGTATAGGGAATAGAGGTAGGAGAAACAAAAGAGATGCCCTGCAATGTCCAACCTGTCAATGGTAAAATGAAGACAAGATAGAGCGGTTCACAAAAAAAAAAAAAACATACTGACGTTTATTGAACATGACCAGATCGAAACTTACCACATGAGTAGAATTCTTCTCTGCCTAAAATATATATCAAATAAAACACGGCCTAGTGGAACGTCATACTTCAGATTCATTACACATACTGAAAAACTTTTTAATGAACTTTTCCTGGAACTCTGAAGGCTTTCAAAGAGTGTGCAGTGAATGTGCAAAATGTAACTCCGAGAACTTTCAAACAGTCTGCAATGACTGTGTGCAAAATGTAACGGAAACAAAGCTATTCATTCAACCAAAATTCTCGAGGACTGGGGTAGGGAGATTCCTAAGGATCTAGGACCTCCTCTCAAAGCAGAATTTTTTTTTTAGTCTTTGAAACCTATAATTTGTTGCCAATTAGCCACTTTTTAGTACCTCTCATATATCTATAAGCAAATGAACACAAAAACCTAATTTTTCAAGATGGCCACCGTCAGACCCTGGAGGATGAAAAAATAAGATGTTTACCGAGAGCTTCTTTCTCAAGTACAATTTGGAGGGGAGGCAGTTTTTGCTTTATAAACCTGCCTCGGTAAAAAGTTATTTGAGAAATTCTCACAGCTTAAACTGTGGGAATAGTGCACACAAGAAAAAACACTGAAGAATGAACAGCAAACAGCGCTAATCTTGCAAAGAAAAATGTATCATCAAGTCAGTGGAATATATACGCCAGCAAACAATACATAGAAATAAAATATACAGAAAAACCTCATGAATCACTTTCAGGCATTTCTGAAATTGGTCAGTTTTAACCTTAAGAAAAGAGTTGCACCTTGCAGCTTGGCACTCCCTGGACAGGTTTCTTCAAACCCCTTCAGTTGTCGAAATTAGTCAGAAGAAGGGTGAAACATCATTATCCGCTGAAGTAGGCCATCCGTTACCTGTTTTATTTTTGCTTGTACACTTGAAATGCTGCTGGTATCCTTCAAGAGATCCAGCTCCTGTTGTAGCTGGAAGGTAAATTTTTCTCGGTTTGGTTAACAGAGCAAGGCGTTATTATTTAATTAAGGCCAATCAGCATTAAAGTTACACCCTACTGTGGAAAATATTACAACTGTTAGTTTAAAAGCCCATCAAGCTATAGCTTTGATGATATCAAATATATTCAACTGCTTGTGAATCCCCTAGAGGACTTCTATGAGACACTGAAATTTTGACCTTGAGAAAATGGAGACAACGTTCTAGATGTCTGATTTCATATGTGGAACATTAGCGAGCTCAGATCCATTATTTGACCACTAACAAAAGAAAACAAAAACTGACTTGGAAAAACTTCAAAACCCTTTCTTGTTGACGTATGCTTTATGGATAAAAATGCTATCTTGGAGACGAGGTGGACGAGGCAACCCCTTAGGTGTGGAAGCAGGAAAAAGGGAATTGCGGCAAAACAAGAATTCTGGCCCCTTCCTTCTCATGATGCCCTCTCCAACCACACACTGCGAGGGCGCATGGCACAAACAGGTGTTAAACCCAGACGAAGAGCACAACGGCACTGCAAGTAGTCAGCTGCAAACCAGGTTGTTAGCTGAATTTAGACAGTGCTTAAGTTTCTTGGTACCCTTTTTAGGTTAGGCAAACCTTTTTAGGTTAGGCAAACCAGACAAAACTGATGCACCATTCAGACTGTCTATTGCTTTGAAAGTTTAGTGGAAAAGGCGTCGAAATTACCACTTCGGGAATGCAGAGGGCCGGGTGCAGCTGAATAACATCAGTGGTGGTCTTGCCAGCGATGTCTACCCTCCTTGCCTGTGACGTCTGTGCCATCATTTGAAGTAAGAGCTTCACATCTGGTGCAGCCTTGGAGCATTCAGCAGCCATAATCTCTACGTGGTCTGCACAGTTGTCGGTACCTTCTCCTACGTCATGATGTGGAACCTGAAAAAAAAAAGGTTAGTGCCATGCACACAATATAAGATTTGAAAAACAAAGTTGTGTACCAGACGAACTCCAGCAAGCCTTATTTTATGTTATGTAAAAAGTTGTAATTTAAACAGTGGGTGCACGGGTCCAAATACAAGGTGATACAAGGAGATGCCAGGCTATTTAAATCGACCGCAAAATTCGGTTTCTTAAGCTATTGCGCAACGACTTTGTGCAGCGTTGCCACCAGATGGTGCTTTTTTTTTTCTTTCTTTTTTTTTGTAAAATTTGCAAAGAGCGAACTTACCCGAGGAAAAAGGAAAGAAAGAAAAAGGCTTAGCTCCTATGGAAACGCAGCGACGCCACCGTTCTTCAAACAACACGGCGCCGTTTCGCACGGGAGACAAGAGATGGCGCAACGAACGCCGCCAACGAACGAGCATACGGCGCCGAAAGCCAGCGTCTTTAGCAGACAATCTTTTCGACTTAAAAGCGGCGCGCGTTCCGCAGGCGGCGACAGTCGCAGAAACAAAAACAGGTGCGGTAACAACAAGGAACTGCAGTTCCTTGTCTGCTAAATACGCCGGCTCTCGGCGTGGTCTGCTCGTTCGTTGGCGGCAGTTGGCGTCGCGACCGCTTGCACCATCTCTTGTCTCGCGTGCGAAACGGCGCCGTGTTGTTTGCAGACCGGTGGCGTCGCTGCGTTTCCATAGGAGCTAAGCCTTTTTCTTTCTTTACTTCTTCCTCAGGTAAATTCGCTCTTTGAAAATTTTACAAAAAAAAAAAAAAAAAATTCACCATCTGTGGGCAACGCTGCACAAAGTCGTAGCGCGATAGGTTAAGAAACCGAAATTTCCGGTCGATTTAAAGAGCCTGGCGTCTCCTTGTATCACCCTGTAGATCAAGTTATATGCACTCTATATTTTAGCCATAATAAGGCAGTTCAATGCAACAAAAGAGATTTAACCGAGAGACAACCAGAGAGTATTTGATATATCTGACAAGCCATGCAACTGTGACTTTTACAGATTACATTTACAGCAATGTGATTCGTTCGAGTCACTTTGGAGTACCTGTTGCAGTAGTCAAAAGTCCATTTAGGAGTAGTCAAAAGTACGTTTAGGAGCAGCTAAAAGATGTATTGGCATTTAAGCAAAAACTTCGTCTTTATTCTTTCCACTGTGAATATTATCATACGGTTAATGTATTGGCATGCTCAACTAAAACACTATATCTACTTTGCCCTCCCACTCCTGTGCAACTTTTTGTTAACATCAATTGCTTGACAAGTTTGATTCTCTCGAACAAAGCACTATCTGCTTAGTTGCACATAGAAGCACCAGACATGGCAACAACAGTCTGAGTGATGATGGATAGTATGAACTGCTGTGAATGGTTGTTTTATGTACGGAATCAAAAGTAAAGCAAACAGCACGTACCACTAAAATAAAGTAATGTAAAAATAGAAACATTTTAAGTACTCAAAGTGATGTTTTGTTACAGTTCTAAAGGTTATAATAAAACAAAGATTTCGTCATTTGATTGTGAATATCAATGTCGTATATTTAAGACTTCATAACAAGAATCTGCATGCGAACAATAAATATGCCTTTTAAAAACAATCAAGCCGAATTTGGTAAGGTCATTCCCAATCTTCTAACCATTCCTCTGGACGAGCAACTCAAAGCTGTATAAAGATTCCTCTCATTTTGGCAAAATGTAACAGGCATATGGTGCAGCAATTACATAACTACATTTAGCTGAATAACTATTTAAGAACACTTCCCGCTTCCAGGTTAGTTTTAGTTCTTTTAATTGTATCAGAACCAGGTTATAACAAACTTACCATGGTCCTTTTGTATTTTTGAATACCGTCACTGCGTTGGCGTTCTTCCTTTCGCTTTCGCCCACCACCTTTGCCATAGTTTTCCTTGTTTTGCTGAACTTCTGGCAGATGCATAAAAAGCAACCTTTCTCTTTAGAGCGCGGCTCTTAGGCCCGTTTCCGGCTTGAGCGGCGTCGGCGTCGCCGTCGGCGTAACCGCGCGGTGCATTATGGGTAAATTTCCCCGCTAAATCTAGCGGAAAAATTTTCCCGCTAAATCTAGCGGAAAAATTTCCCCGCTAAATTTAGCGGAAATATTTTCCCGCTAAATCTGGCGGAAAAATTTCCCCGCTAAATCTAGCGGAAATATTTTCCAGCTAAATCTAGTGGAAAAATTTCCCCGCTAAATCTAGCGGAAAAATTTCCCCCGCTAAATTTAACGGAAAAATTTCGCGGCTAAGTCTAGCGCAAAATTTCCCCGCTAGATTTAGCGGAAGAATTTCCCCGCTAAATCTCTCTGGGGGTCACGTGACCCCTTCCCCCTCAAGGTCACGTGACCCCCACGTGATTTTGGAGAGGGGGTCACGCGACCCCATCAAGGTCACGTGACCTCAGGGGGGGGGGTCAAGTGACTTTTGTGGCCTTGGCTCCTCCTCCTCAAGAGCTGCGCTCTAATTCGGTGTTACAGGGAGTTGTAAACGGCTTTCATTTTTTCATTTTGTTAATAAGGCTGTGTCGCAGTGAATCCTACAGTGAGACTGATGAGTAGCAAGCCTGTCACAATGCAGATATTGAACTTCGATACAAGTATTTCAATTGTCAGAATGAAAACAAGTTCTTTTAAATCTTACGCAGCGTCCAGTGGAGTCGGCCAGGAAGAAGTATGCCGCTTGGAGGGCACGCATGACATCATCTAGCTAAGGCCGACTTGGCGTTCTGGAAAGAAAGAAAAGACCAAATGTTAGCCTTTATTTTTTTATATATAAGTGAGGACTTCAGATGCTGCTGCTTTCGGAGTTTTGCTCAGAATGTCGTCTGCCAACGCAGCGACCAACTTTGTTCATACTTCATTTCGCTGTGGTTGAAGGAACAATTCACTCTTTTCACACAGCCTCTGTAACAGTAGCGGGGGAAATTTTGGGAGAGTATAGCTCTGTGGCCATACATTCCTTACAACCTCTGTAGACCAAACTGAGGCTGCTGTGTTACTAGCGCGAGGCACATTGGAGGGTCCAGGCAAGCTGAAAGATAACAATGTAATTAGTGCAACTTGCATTTCACAAATGGAACGCAAATTTCCAATTAGGTAGTGTGCCCTATCTTTCTTTTATGTCTCCTTTTAGCTGTTCAATCAGTTTTTGCAGTTTGACTCGCACTTTTATAGCAGGGAGCAACTGCTCAATCATCCTCACTGACAAGTTTAGAAACGTCTTCAACCTCTTCTGCATAAAAGGAGATAAAATATTGCACATACAGTATATATCATACATATATGTTATATATGTTAATGATAGAAGTGATACCACATTTTTTTACCCTTTTATTCTGATAGTGTACACAAATATAGTATAAAGAGAGTGAAGACGGGGGGGGGGGGGGGGGGGGGGGGGACAACCATAAAGCAGTGGCATGCACCACCCCCACACTGCTTCCATTTTCTGGTTTCGCAGATCCTCCCTCGACATGTTTACGTTTCATGTGCTTCCTGAAGCTCTCAAATGCAATAAAAGATCGTCCAGACGAAGAGCACTCATCCAACTTGCAAACAGAATTAAAGTCCGGGTCACCATGAGCTATCTGGACATGATTTATCAGATGACTCCCGATGTGGTAGCACTGCGAAAACGTTTTGAACACTCGTATCCGCTCATGCTGAAATCGCACAAACGACGACAAATCTCACCAATCGCCGAAAGACCCGGAAGCACTTCCTCGCTCACAAAACATGTCCAAATATCCACACTGCACTACAAGTTTCATAAAAAATATTCGCGTGCACATGGAAGTATGGAAGGATAGCGCCATCGAGACCCCGATCAGCCACCGTTACCGGCGTTACCGGCACTCAACTTGGAAACTGAAAACGCGAGACGAAACCGACGCCGCCGATCAACACAAACAAAGAGGATGGAGCATTCTGCTTACTTTCGAATCTCTGGGCGAAGTCTCCAAGGTTTTGCTTTGTCAACCAATCTGACACGTCCTGGAGCTTCCATCTAGACACATCTGTATGTTCTCGCACCGTGACCACATCCATTGAATGCCGCCGACAGAACCAGGTCGAAACAGTAAACACCGAACCCCGAATTGTTGGCCGCCGTTACTTTCGCCTTCACAGAATCTCACGCAGGCAAACGGCGCGGCGCAGCGGCACCACCGGCACTCCTTCGCGCGCAACTTCTTCTAAAACAAAACAAAACAAAAAAACGTTATGAAGAACTTTTTTCCAGGCAAACGTTCTTCATCGCCCGGTCGCCTTTCTGGTGCACCAGGGGGCGACACTGTATGAGCGAAAACAGTTCTTCACGAGGTGAAAGAGTTCTTGGGGCGGCGAAGAACCTTTCAAGAACGGATTTTTTTTAGAGTGCATTGGTCAACCATAAACTGTCTTTAGGCACGTTTCAAGCATACATATGTTTGAAGCAAACATGCCTCGAAGTGCCCGCAGGAAATTCTATCATCATCATATCATCTGCAGCGAACACCGTGGCTTTTGTATCATGTTGAGCCATGGAGAATAGAAGGGTAGGAGAGGGCATGACGTCAGCCGCGTAACCTCCGCAAGCCATGCTCCCTTGACGCCTCGCCTCCTTCTCATTTTCCTCCTTACTCTCATCACATCACGTGACCGTAGCTAGCCTTCGTCTAGCCCTTGATCTGTTAAAACCTACCGGACGGAGCCCGCGCAAGCCTGCAAGGAGTCCTCCTAGAATCAACCATCCATGTCACACGTGACATGTCACGCGCACCAATCGCCAGACAGATCTGCAGTCACGCTGGGCACAAAATCGTTTAAACTTTTTATGACTATAGGCTTCACCAATATTGCAACACGCCCCCTCCTAGTACTTCTAACCTCCTTGTGTTGAGCAGTTTGAACGGCCCTCGCAACAAAATGGCGACGCCCACGACCAACAGGCTCGCAATCAGCGTCAATAGCGGCGAACCGATTAGGTTCGCGTGCTATAAGGTGTGGCGATACCCTGCGCGTATAGGAGGTTTTGAAAACTCGAACTTTGGGCGTGTTATGCATGTTAGTTACGTAACAATACAGGGGTGCCATGGCGCAGGCGCGTGTCGACCGAGGGAAGAACAGGATATAAATATTTCGAGGTTCCGTCGTTTCTTCGGTAGGGGAGGAAGTGGCCGAGTGGGGAGAAAGAAGAAGACGCCGTTCGAAACGGTCGCTTTTCGATGCTCTCCAGTGAAAATACACCGGCCACAGGCCGGGGAATTGCTGAGGCTTCGGCCAGAACCACTGACATGACGACTGAAGAGTACCGGACCGTCCTACCCCGCCTACCTACAGGTAATTTGAGCCTCAATTCGGTATTTCTGCACGGAGATCTGGCAGCGAGGCCATACAGAGCACCGGACTTCCGAGACGCCTTACGAGACGTGGTCGATAGCCAGGAAATCATCGGGATAGGCCAATTCCAGATGAGTCACGTATGGATGGTGACTTGCGCAAGTGCACACGCGAAGGCCAAACTCGTCAACAAAGCTGAACTACGCGTAAAGGGACGCAGGTGCCTGATTATCGACCCGGACACCAGAGATGTAAAACTGAAGCTACTATGGCTTCCCGTCCACATGGAAAGTCAACGTATCGAGGAAGCACTGGCACCATTCGGTACAGTTCGTTCCATCGTGAAGGAAAAGTGGAGATGCGCCGGAATGGAACAGATGGAGACGCTCAACAAAGAAGTGACCTTGGCGCTTCGAGAAGGGATGAACGCAAGCCAAATTCCGCACCAGCTCACAGTCTTTGGCTGCCGAAGCTCGGTGCTCGTGCCGGGCCGTCCTCCACTATGCCTTCGATGTAATCGCATAGGTCACATCCGTCGTGAGTGTAGAACCCCACGATGCGGGGAGTGCCGCCGTTATGGCCACGCTACGAGTGAGTGTGTGATGACCTACGCAGACAAGCTAGGCCAATCAAGAAGCCCGACTGACGACATTGTCCAGGAACACCTCATGGACATCAGCGAGGTTGTCGACGCCACAGGAGAGGTGATCGCTCTCACTTCCTCGACAGCGAAAACTGAGCTGGAAATTTTGACACAGCAGTCACAGTCCGTCAGCCCTGAGAAGACGACACCTAACGCAGGGCTAGGCCCGGTAACGCAAGGAAACACAATCAAGGCAACAAAGGAAGATTGGCCAAATAGCGAATTTCCTCCCTTAAACACGACTCCGGAGCTTTCTCTCCAACAGCTGCTACCACGACGAGAACGTCCCACCCCATACAGCGGAGCACCCGTCAAGCGACCCGCTCCTTCAACAGCGACTACGTCCCAGTCATCTACAGCAGGTGACTCAGAAGACAAGAACGACGAGAGAGGTGACGTGAAACGCAAGCCGACCACGGTGCGGGAACAGCCGCACAGCAAGACCCCACAGCCTGACCACCTGGTGAAAGACGGCGATGCACTGCCGCCCTAACTAACACTCTCTGGCATTTCCTCCCCTCAGCTTCGCTACCATGAACGTCAGAGGACTGTGTTCTCGTGCACGACAATCGCAATTGTATAGGCTCTTCTCAAAAGAACAGATCGATTTTGTTGCCGTCCAGGAGACAAAAATATCGTCTGATGAGGACACGGCTCGTGCACTGGACCCTTTCCTCTCAAATTATGAGGTATGTGTTAGTCATGCTGATGGGTTGTCGGGAGGGTGCCTTTTGTTTTTAAGGAAAAGGCTAGGATATACGTCACTCTCACACGCCGTCGATGACGACGGAAGGTTGATATGTTGCGATTTCTCGTTGCATGGCACATACTGGCGATTAATTTGTATTTATGCTCATAACGACGTTCGACAGCGATGCTCTTTCTTTGAAAACCTTGCCCCATACTTAGATACCGACAAACAAATAATTTTATTCGGCGACTTTAACTGTGTGTGTAATATAAACGATAGGTCAACACCCCCTTCTCGACCTGACAGAAGTGCTGACACTCTCAACACTCTCACATATGAGTATCACCTATTTGATGTTGGAGCTTCTCGAAGTACAACTTTCCGATACACCCACCTCCAAGCTTCATGTAATGCCAGGCTTGATCGTATTTACGTTTCAAGTTCACTTTTTTCACGTGTGACTGCATATGACGTGAAACCAGTTTCGTTTTCAGATCATTGTCTTGTAAGCGTCCGTATCGGAACAGACACGCAACGTAAGGCAAAACCAAAATGGGCTTTGTGGAGATTTAACACGAGACTTTTAGAGAACACAGATTTCGAAGAGCGTGTGCGCGAATGCTTCAGCAAAGCAACAACAAATCATAATATCGGCATTTTTGCTCAATGGGACTCTTTCAAGCAGGAGTTTAAAAACGAGGCAATTGAATGCGCGTGCATCGCATCGTTTCATGCAAAGAAAGAAGAATCTACCCTTTTGAAAAATTTACACATTCTTTATGAGCTGGAGTGTGAAACACCCGGCTTGTTTCAGGAAGAAATTACACGCGTTAAATGTCAGATACAGCGTTATGAACAAAACTGTTACCATGGTGCACTAGTACGGTCTAGGTGCAAGCGTTTTCTATCCTCTGAAACACCTTCGCGCCGCGCAATCGACGACGAGATGCGAAACAGACTTTCAAAGAAAATTAAACTTTTAAATTGTAATGGGACGCTCTCAACAGACGAAGACGACATTATGAAAACGTTTGAATTTCATTACCAAAACCTCTTTGGGCACAAACAACCC